TGATGGATGGATGAATGATTGATGGATGGATGAATGATTGATGGATGGATGAATGATTGATGGATGGATGATGAATGATGGCTGTTGCCCATCTAGACGAATGTCTTGTTGCTACAATGTCTTCTTCATGCGTCTTCATTCAGGTGGCCTTCCACATTCAGCCATACAAGGGACGGACGGACCAGAGCATGCATGACAACATCAAGTACATTATTGACAGGTAAGCTGGCTGTAGTCCAGTAGATTCTGGTAGATGTTTTCTATAACCAAGCGGGTCATCAGAGGAGGGGTGGGGGGTGGGGGGGTCTGATATTATCAGAACAAAAAAAGTAGATCTAGAACTTCTTAACTTCACTAAAGGATTTGGGGGAAAGTTCTTGTGTGTCATAACTGAATGCAGTTTTTCTTCTGAACGTCAGACGTTGATCAGGTCCATCTGTCTCCATCTGTCTCCATCTTCCTCCTCAGATACGGGAAGCATGAAGCCTTCTACAGATTCAGGACCAGCACAGGGCAGATCCTGCCTCTGTTTTATGTCTATGACTCCTATCTTACTCCTCCTGACTCCTGGACAGAGCTTCTGACCCCCACGGGTTCCCAGAGCGTCAGAGGAACGCCGTATGATGGGGTGTTTGTTGCACTGGTGGTGGAGGAGCGCCACAAGCACGACATCCTTGCCAGCGGCTTCGATGGGATGTACACCTACTTCGCCTCCAACGGGTTCTCCTTCGGCTCGTCACACCAGAACTGGAAAGCCATCAAGGCGTTCTGTGACACAAACAATCTGCTATTCATACCCAGCGTGGGTCCGGGGTACGTGGACACCGCAGTCCGACCGTGGAACAACCACAACACCAGGAACCGGGTCAACGGCCGTTACTATGAGACGTCCCTGCAGGCGGCGCTGTCTGTCAGACCCGAAATCGTAACCATTACCTCCTTCAACCAATGGCACGAAGGCACTCAGATAGAAAGGGCCGTGCCCAAGAAAACAGCGGAACGTTTATATCTGGACTACCTGCCAAACCAAGCAGACCATTATCTGCAGCTGACGCGCCAGTGGGCCCAGACCTTCAGCAGAGAGAAGGACAAGTGGCTGATGTGAATCTGGGAACCAGTGGGACTCTGCTGGTGACCCTGGCTATAGACCAACAGCTGCTCCTCAATCTTTCCTCTTTATCTGTTGTTTTCCTTCCTCTGAAATAAAGACTGTTACTTCCTGTCCTTTGGTCTGTTTACTGGTGGACGGTTCTACGTCCCACCTGAAGGGAAGCAGGTTCCTGTTCCTCAGCTGGCTCCTCCCACTATGAAGATAACGCCTGTAGGCTTTGGTCATGTTCAAGTCATCTTTTCTTGAAATAAGTGCATTTGTTCTTGGATTGAGGAGGTAAAAGAGACATTTTGCCAGTGGAACAATTTACATTTAAAATCAGAAAACTAAATACTATCGTCTTATTTTAAGTGTATATTATCTAATGATCTTACTTTAAGAGTAAAAATACTCATCTCATTTACCTACTCAAATTAAGGGTAGATTTTTACTTATTTCTAGATGTTTTTTCCAGTGAACTTGTTCCGTACCTCAGTCCAATTGGCTGGAAGCAGGTGTATCTCCTCTAAAGGTCAGAAGAAAATCTCCATCAGGTTCCTCACTACTTGACAGACTGACGTTGGTGAAACGTTTCCTTCCTCACGCCTCTCATAGTGGTTTGTGGGAACATTGGGTCCTTCCCCCTTACAGAAGCGGTCTAAATGGACCCGCCTGCAGCGGTGGAGGGTTGTGGGCTAGATTCTGACTTCTCCAGTCAAACCCAAACCCTGTACGGACTCACCTTTAGGCTCCACCAATCAGTGTATTCCTGATCAGAGCCGACCTTTATTACAACATTTCAACATATGAAGAATTTTCCAGGGAGGTCCGGTGCGCTTCATCAGGTCAGGAAGCAGAAACCAACATGCAGAGTAACTGCTGCTAAGCTGCTGATTGGTCAGGCTATTCAAATAGACCAATGAGCAGCTCTTAAAGAATGTGAGTAGATCCACACATTGGGCCTTATGCTGATATCTGGCATTGAATGTGAGGACAGTACTCCCTCACAACCCTGACCTCTTTATAAGAACCTTACTATAACAATTCTATTCAGTTTATTTCTATAACTCCAATCCACATGTCATCTCAAGTCACTTTATAGATCCAGATCAACCAGATCATCCAGTTAAAATAATTCAAAGTTTTCTATCTAAGTAAAACAGCTTATTGCAGGAGGCTACAGAAACTTTTTAGCAGGGCCTGGCCGCCTCCCGAGGGGCTCCGCCTCCTCAGGAGGAGGAGCCCCTAGGAGAGGGAGAGAGGACACAAGGGAAAGGACACATGGAGAGGAAGAATGGACACCAAAAAGATAGGACACAAGGAGAACATTCTAGGAGCACTCATAGATTTCCTCAATTATCCAGATCTAGGGAAACAGAATTACAGCTGTAGACCCAGAGCAGAGCCTGACCCGGTTGGGGGTGTGGTACCGTGGTACTTAGAGCCCTGAGACTGACCTCAGAACTATTTGAAGGGGAAGTTCTTCTGGGCTGGTTCTGAAGCACCGCTTCTCCAGCCAGAGGGTCTTTGTCTTTAAATAAAAGCAAAACCCTGCTGGAGGCGAAGGCGGCCATTTTTTTATTTATTAGAAAACTGAGGCTGGTTCTCAGTATGGACTCGTGTCCTCGCCAAGTCCGTTCTTTAGAAGAACCCAGGAAAGTCTGGACTCGAGGAGAACTGGAGGACGCAGAATAGATCTGGGTGAGCTGGAACAGAAGCGTGCTGATGACATCACCACATTCAAAGCTAGTCTGGAGCTGCATTTCTCCTCCTGGTATCAATAGTCTCTAGATGATAATAAATTAGGACTTTTTTTATGGGCTGCTCAGTGGAGCAATGTATAGCACTGCTGCCTTGCAGGAAAAAAGGGTTCTGGGTTCAATTCCCGGCCCGGGGTCTTTAACCAGGGTGGACCCCCCCTCCGTCCAGGGTGGACCCCC